CAATATCGGTTCACAAATGGCGGAGTTATCGCGTTACATACAAAAAAACATACAGACGAATTGAGAACCTCCTCCTTTTTCGTGAAGTCGGTTAAAAATCTATTTTGTTACTTTAACAAAGATTAGTTTTCGAACGAGGGTGCGAAATGCGGCTTCTTGAAGTTCAACGTACCCAATAATTTATTACCCTAAAGCGTGCTCCTTTAATATTTTTTTACATCTTTGATTTTAAGTGTGTCGCAAGATGACACGCGCTACGTCTAACGTAAATATGTTGGACGGTCACGATTTCCGCCATGCTTTATCTTTTTATGTGACGCTATTTGATAAAATCAACAGTGCTGCATGAACAATCCACAGATTACTTTTAGAATTAAAGGACGAGAGAAAATAACAAGGCAGTTATTTGTATTGTATTGTGTGAGTCATATCGAATTACCTAAATATGATTTCCGATTACAATAACCACCAGCTGAGTGTATGAACCGAACAAAAATTCCTTCTCACGGGCACAACGGTACCGCCGCACGGGCACGTCTCTAAGGTCACCGTGGTAATATCTTCATCTCACTCTGAACAAGGTTACACAAATGGCGGGGAAAGAGAAGGGACTATGCAAATGAGTGGCGGTAAAAAACGACCGTTTGACTTACTGAGTCGCAGTGATAGATTAGATGCACCTTTTTTTGTTCAGAAGGTCTGTCTTTACGTAGAAACGCGGAGTATGCGCGCGCCTTCCATTGTTCGGCCGTTTCAACATAGCTATACTTTATCACAATGGGCCTCCTTTTGCTTGAAAATGGAAAGTAATAAATAGATCGTAAAGTTACGACGCGGCGTCGTAAATTCTTGTAGCGCGCGCCAAATGTGCCAACTCGAGACTTGGACGGTGGAGCATTCATTTTATCACTTAAATAGGTATAACAAAACACTGCAATCAAAGATAATTCCAAGTAGGAAACTATATTTTGCCGTCCCGCAATTAGATAAGAGTTCAGCTGGCGCGGAATACGTAGAAGTCGTTTTTACGTGAGCTAAGCATACAATTACCGTGCGCTCATAAAAGATAATGCAAGTCGTTGAATTTCAGATTTATAGAACAGCTAGCGCCATCTATCGTTAGCACACAAATCCTCGAGTTCCGCATTCATAAATTCCGAGCGGCATTCGGGCTCCGTCGATAACGAATTGTTTGCAAAACAATTAACACAACGAAACGGATCTCGCCACGATTGGACTTTACCATTTTACTTTCCTTAATTACAAGTTAAGGCTATAGAAAAAAAGGTTAATAAATATAAATGCCCTATGTTTACGTACTCGGTTCACGGCCGCGTTTATCGCGATACTCGCGAAACTGTACCCGTCTCTTTCTGGTTCAAGGAAATTTGTATAGTACTCGGTGCATACATCGTTTCTGTCCTTTTTCAATGGTGATTTATAGTCAAGGAGCTTTACACACATGTCGTGGCTACTTACTACCTTACGACTCGTTCGTTTATCATGATTATGAAGCTATATGGCAATTATATATCAAATTTACATAATTTGTTTGATAAGGGTCTATTAAAGGTTAATTTAAGCATATTATGACCGTTAGTGTATTACGTATGAAAAATATGAAAAATAAAAGTAGCCAATAGTTTCCTTCTTCTCCGTCAGTCCCTCACTGCTGAAGATCGTGAATTTGAGCAAAATCACCGTCAATCGATCTTCTCTATTGCACTCTATCTTCGGCTAGGTCCACGGAAGAAAAAAAACTATGGAAGTGCCATAAGCCTCGATTACTATCGGAACCGATGTCGCCAAAACGCAAATAAACAAAATGATGAACACTACGAAATCTTGATGATGATTGGTAATGAATTGGAAATGTAACAAATTCTGGATTGTTAATATAATTTAAACTTTGCCCAGTCGCTATATCGTTAAAAGTTCAATACCTTTGTTGCAAGTTACGACGTTTTGATTTTATATTGAAATTTTATTCAATGTGCTGCCATCTTGCGGCCAGCTGGACTACGACGAACGATTAACATCAGAACGAATGATCAGACAATTGAAAATTTATTAAAATAAGACTAAGAATAAAAATAAAATAAGATTCATCGGTACATTTGAAATACTGCTACGGATAATATTTTTTGCGGTTATCATTTTTGCACTCCAAAACAGCACATAAGGCATTTTTCTACGATTTTAGAGAATTTACGAGAATGAATGACACAACCATACCATACCAAGTGAAAATGACGGACTAAGCTCAAGTAGGTCTTTCGAGGCCTATAGTGGGCACTCGTCTGACGCTAACTAACCACTTCTACTGTATTTATTATTCTGTGATTGCAACGTTTACCGGTACTGCCAGACTTTCAGCTACCTGGTCACACCATATCGTTTCGAACTTCGCCCTCTAGGTCGTTTGCGCTTTAATTTGCCAGTAACAATTAAGTCTTTCAAGATTGTCAAATAATTGTGGACTGAGGGGCAAATAGACGGAGAATAAACGTTTGTGACTTTTCAGCAGCAATTTCTCAAGCACGGTTCGTGGGATGTGCAGTCCATTCAAAATAAAGAGAAATATTTTAATCAACTTGAAATAAAGAACTATAATGGATTTATCAAAAGAAAATCGACGGAACCACGACTGTGTATGCAATTGCATACGATTCCACTATGATAACGAACTTGACATAAAGAAGTCTGATTAAAACAAAACCAAAACATGACTGCGTGCAAGTGCACACGGATCCTTAACGGTGTGGTATTTTGCGTAAGTGATAGGTAGCGATTAAGTATGTCGTGATAGTGATTAGAAATTGGAAAATGAGCAGGTTTCACGGGTAATAATTGTACAATGGAATGACGGAGGGAGCGCGACAAATTGCACGAGGCTTAACAGATTTACGAAGACCGTTTCTAAAAATACTGCATGGGAACTAGTAGGAAATATATGCACCTACATTAGATTGTCTAGCAGGCAGTCACTTTTGCGCCTAATGGTAAATAAACCTGCCAATGTCTCCCTTAAGTAATTATATCTCAATAGCCGTTCCAGTTAATCAGCTCGTGAAACAAGTTGCTATAATTTTGTTTGTGTTTGTTTTTATTTTTGACGACTTCGGTGGCCCTACGGTTTGCACGGCCAGGACCAATTTGGAAAACGAACTTTTGTAAATTGGTTCTTGTCTGGGTGTTTTGGGTAGTGCCTTGGAGTGAATTAGGCTCAATTTACGGAATGGAAGCTGGTTTTGTAAACAAATTGTACGTAGCATAATGAACTTTGTGTCAGTTGTGTAACGTACAAATTAGATACGATTCGGTAGCTGTGGGAATTTACGAGACTGTGCGAGATTTCTTCTACTTTGTACACCGTAGTGTAATAAGACAAGTATGGTAACTACATAGAAACGTAGCAGCGCGGCAGTGCACTGCTGTTGCCTAGCATGGATTATCGCAGACGTCATTAATTATAAAATAGCGGTCGCTCTGAGTTTAAAAATTGACATCAAATAGTGTCTATTGTTGTGTCTCAAGTCCAGAACTGTTCAGCATTTCATTTTTGTTTCATAATCATACTCCATAATCACCAATCCGCGACACTGGTATAAAAATATCGATTTCTAAGTGCCTACTGCATTATGCATAGGACGAGAATCCTTTTTTTTTATAACATCAAGCGACAGACGAACAAGTCGTGTGCCTGAGGGTAAGCTACACGCCTGTCCATAACAGTTACAGTGTCACTCAGAGCTTTAAATTGCAAAGATCTGAGGGGCATTGCCACTGCGCCTGTAATTTCACCAGCGCCCTCATCATTCATAATCGGAATAGAGTAGTGCTGACATTACTGCTTGGCGGCAGAAATAGGCACCTGGACCAACTCTTTCACAGGGAGCTCTACTAATACTAAAAATTACTGTAAACTATGTTTACAACGTGTACTTTTCCCAGTTTTGCTAACTTACTTGAAACCTAGTTGCAATGGCAGTTGAGTCGCAATAGTGTCAGTGGAATAGCATTCAATCATTAATGATCGATGAGGGTCTTATTTTTTATCTCGTTTCATCAGCAATTTAGTCTTCAAATTAAATATTAAATATTTATAATATTAATACACTACGCCATCGACTCGCCATTGAAGAGCAGAACACCAAAAAATTGCAATGGCAGTTGAATAGTAGCTCTATGGCTAATCAGTGACAAGCATCTTGCTCTTAACTTTTAGCAGAATACCAAACGTACAAAATCCTGCCATTGACAGTGTATCGACACACAACTGTGATGATTTATAATCTCAGTACAGAGTAGGTACTAAAAAGACCGACCTCAAAAGTTCGTGGAATTACATCTATTTGCCAAGTTTTATTGAAATTGGTTACCGGAAAGTGCGCGAAACCGGATTCATCCCCTAGTTAGCCATCCTTTAGAGGTGGAATATTTTCTTCAAATTTAAATGGAAGCACTTTTGGGGCACCAACAAAAAAAGAAGCTCGAATTTATTTTTTCGGAAATAACGTTCGTTCGAATGTTCGTTACCCCGAAAACCGAATTATAACGAAACAAAAAAAAAACAACCAAAAAAAATGTTGGATATTTATCGCAAAGAGACGATTAGATTCGGTTAGATTACGTTAGGTTTAAAAGAAAAAAACATTTTCCTCTCAAAATTACTTTCGAGGTTATGAAAATTCGAGGAAACGTTACTTCAGGAAAATGTCATTTCGGACTTCTGATAGGTAAAGAATAGGGTGGAATTGAGAATCTCCTCGTTTTTTTGAAGTTGGTTCAAAATTAGTAGACTTGGGGCCTTGATTGGTATAGTTATCTGGTACATTATTACTCTAATAGTATAATTGAGCTCCAAAATCGACGTATGTGGTTTGAAACAATACATTAATGTATCAAGATTTTTAATCATATTTTTGATTACAAAATAAATAAAGGTTCTTTATGATGTTGAATTTACGCAAAGTTGTAAAGCTTATAAGTACTTTTGTTCACCAAAAATCAATAACAATCTCCCGATCGCTTATGGTCTGCGAAAAAATGTTTCAAGATAACAATTCTGACAAAGTACAAACCTCTCTCGCTTTTAACCCTAATATATCAAGTTTACATAGATGGAGGTTACTTACCGGGTCGGCTCGACCATCATTTTGTGCGGCCTGAAACAAACACATGCTATTAAACAGTTTGCACACAAACATTATCGTAATTTTCCGACTTTATACCTACATTATAACACTAATTTACGAGCAAAACTTGCATATACTTAACTTGCATATTTAACAAGGGTCACGGAATCTCATACTCAAGGGTTTCCTCTAAGAAGAGGATTTAGGCTATAATTCGCCTCTCTGGCGTCTTCGACGATTTCCTTCACAGTTAGAAATTAAAGACATGGGTACAATCGACGCCCTTAGATACCTAGCCGACCTTTTGTTCTTGCGCATTTTACAGAAAGTGTTAAACGAATTCCAGCTTCATGGTTGAAATGTGTATTTTGTATTTAAGGAAGTATATGTTAAGGATCATTCACTAACGATGCAATAAGTAATATCAAAATTAATTTTACGTCTCACGAGTTAAAGGTTAAATTTGTTTAACACCTTTCTTCACATCACACTGATCTACTCAGAAATCGGTCGGTTTTGGGGGGGTCAGGTACCTAAGGGCATGGACTGTACTGCCACGGGGATTCGAACCGTCGGCCCACTATATTACCAATGCTTTTTATTATGATTACGGAATCTAGTCCAATGGTTTTAATAAAAAAAACTATAGTTATTTTTGGGGCAATAAATTTATCTTCTCTTGTTTGGTTAGGATTTTAGATAACTCGGATATAAACAGAGATATCAGTTTTGGTTAAAATTTTATTATTAAACGTTGGATGACGTAACGAACAGCATTCGGGACTCATTATAAACTGTATATTCAGTAATAAGTTGTCACACAGACGTCGCGTAATTAAATACAAGGCCCAGTCCACGTGAATTTTATTGTAGAAATAAAGAAAGAGTATATGAATGGAAAAGAACAGATAAAGGAAAAGCGTAAAGGCTTTGACAAAACATAATGATATGAAAACAAGTACAATGGTATAAAACACTCCGTTCTTAAATTATATACGGGTTATGGTAAAAATGAACTTTCCCAAAAGGGCCTGTAACTTCTAGAAATACTATGCTTTATAAGCAATTCGGTTACATGATTTAATTGGTCAGAATTTTATGTGAAGTCGAGCACGTGTGCTCGCTTCGTAAATTTAGTAGAGAGTGGCGATGGAAAGAAAAAGTAAGTAAGTGACGAAAAAGAAAAGAAATTTAAGAACGATTCAAAATTTCAAAGTAGGTGGCCAGGAACTAGAGAAAGCGGTGGTTAAAAGGAGGGATGAGGTTGAAAGAGGTCGCATCGTCACAGAGCCTTTATTTCATCAGGCATACGGCTTAAAATGGATAGAGTTAGCGCAGTGCAAGATTCGCCGCAGAATCCTATTAGCTTATTCCAACGGCTGAGGTTAACATTATTGAAGTATTCTCAAGTTAAGATAAAGTCTTGTTATAAACCAAAATAGAGTTTTTAGTGACGACATTTATCGTTACAAATTAGAAAAAGAATATATATGATAGATGATGATGTGTATTGCCCACATAGTTTATTATATGACCATAGTATTTGATATTACTGTTTCTGAATTACATGATTTATGTTTAGTAGGAATATAACGGCGAAGGAGAATATCGTATTAACACCTGTATGTCGACCATCCTGGAATGCTGTGACGTGTTATAGAGAAGACCCGTGTCCAGCAATGGGACTTCTAATGGGTTGATGTTGATGATGTAGTAACTTAGCTTGTTTAATTTACGAAATTTCGAAAACGGTTCACAAGTCTCGGAAAACGCGCACAATCTGTACTGTCTTGTTTTTGATGTAGATGATGATAATAAATCTTCAATTAACAAAGTATGAAACCAGCCACAGCACTGAGCGGAGTTTACTGAGGCAGGTTTCGTTAAAAGGCAATTCCAAGTGAGTTACTGTAAATTGTATGATAATTTAAGGAAATAACCGGACCTGCTCTCACAAATATCACTGAAAGTTCCCTCTAAGTCTTTGAGAAACAATTCACTTTTGGTTCTACCTCGGGCCCTTACTAATTACAGGCAAAATGAGTTTATGCGGCGCGTAAGCAATAATTTCTACACTCTATGTAATACTTTTGATCCCGGACCTTTTCAATACGAAGGAGAGCACTGAGTGGGCACTTCTTTGAGGCTTACAACGGCGGTTGTCTTTTTAAGTGATAGGTTATATAATGGTGTACTAAGGTTCCATATTATATTTCATTTTGTGAGGACTTATAATTGGCATTCAGTTGTTATCATTATTATTTACTTTAGTTTTAAGCTGTTGGTCTTCCTATTAGACAAATAAATAACAAATCCCTTAGCTTTTTATTTTATCAACGTTCTTCATAAATAATTCCACAATACATTGCGTACATTACTTGAGACTTCGCCTCCATTTACATTTAAAACAAAGACGTCGAAACAATATAAACCGCCTTCAAGAAACAGAATATTACAGCGAAACATAATTTCCCTGAAACAATGAATACTTCCCAATTCTAAATATAGAAAGTTCTTTGGCCTAAGGTTCATGACAGGCTCTAGAGCAAAACGTACGTACATCGACCTAAACAAAGCCTAAAGGTTATAGACGTTCAAACAAACATAAAACGTAATTGTTGCCGTAAGTGAGAATTTAAGTCGTGGAACGTTGTTTGCATTCCTAAATAGAATTAACCTCTGTCGGCTATAAGCGAAAGACAACCCGATGGTGGTGTTGCATATTTTGTCGCTCTGGCTCAATGTAGTGTACAGTTTGAAAGATAATTCGTTAAAATAGGTGTTCAAATAGCATTAGTGTCAAAAGTGTTACAGTCAATTAGAAAAATCAGGAAATTAAATGACTACAGCATCAAAATTCCGACAGAATTAGTAACAAATCTAAGATTATTTTAAAAACAAAAGCCCGACTGCAAAAATAATTAGCTGGAAAGATAAAAAAAATATACCCCCCCTCACTATTTTGATTATTTTTTACAGCAGGACACTCCCACAATCAAGACGAATCTAACGACACCTCGTATATCTTCAAGCCGTTTAGACTGTACAGCGTGAAAAAGAAATGGATTATATACTCTAAAAAAACATAACCCTCCGGTCCGGGCAGTCGGGTAAAACAGGCGTTTACACGGCATTACTGGCAAAAGTTCGACAAATAAACATTAAAAACAAAAGTTTAAATGGCACCACTGTCAAAATTTGATAGATAATTCGTAAAAACAGTTCAAACAGCAACCAAGGTTTTTTCTAAGACTTCGGCTACAGAATATCAAAGCTGGATTGTTTTTGGCTTTTCCCTGTCACCTCTTGTACATGTTCTACGTGAACTTAACAAGCCTACATTTTCTAATTAAAAGAGACTAGTGCCAAGAGGTATAGACCCCTCCATTGATTTGCTGATGAGGAAATTGACTGCACCAGTCCCTTAGACTTCATACTGGCCATGAGTTACTCAATACAAAAGATAAGATATTAACAGAAAAATATTGGGAGTTGAGTGTTTGTTGAAATATTTCAAGATTAATACTTGGGCCTATAACACTGTCCAAAATAGGCCTTTTTATAATGAAACAATGAAAACTAGGCGAGTAATTTGTCAATCGTCATATTCGCCGCACTCATTACGTAAGAGCGGTAAGAGAATAAAATCTGCTGACTAAAGACTGAATTTAAAATCGTTTCTCTTTAGTAGTAACAAATCGAAATAAATGTTAAAACGCAAACTTGTCAATATTAACAACAATCGTAATTGTGTAAAGGGCCTGAAACGAAGGTTGGTAAAACAAATATACACGATTTAGATCCGAAAATCCGAATCCGAATCCGAAAAAAAAAACCATTGTTGTATCGAAGAACAAATTTTCTATAAGGACCTTCTGAAATGACGTTTATGTGTATCAGCTTCAAAATTGCATTAATAGTTTTTTATCTAAGGGCATTTAACACTGAAAAAGCAAGTTGGCTCGAATTATTTGTCTTGGAGTGTAGTTTCAAGCTTAGTGTTCTCTAAAATCTATACTCAGTAAGTCAATGTCAATGACGTCTAGGGATATTCCACTCACTAAAGATTAGCGAACAAATCGCCAAGGTCACGATGGTCATCACTATCCAAACGACAACATCATTTACTCCGCCATTCCAATGTTACGTTATCATCATATCATTTCTTATCATCAATTTATCATTATCAGAAACGTGATACACTTTTCATGGCTCTATCTAATCAATTTAAAGTTGATTTTTTTCATATCTACTATTATTGTGACTATGGACGGGACTAATATGAGAAATATTCAATCTTTATGATAAACGATCACTTCAAAATGGTTTATGCTCTAGACTTTCTAGTAAATAGACTCAATCTTTTCAAACATTTATCGCACTTTATCTTAATAACGCCGCATTATGTACTTAGGACCTCAGCTTTTCGCAAAATTGCCTACGTATAAAGCTATCTACCTCGTATGCTTGGCTTAATACAATTTCGGAAGAGCCCTGTGTTTAAAACGTGCTTAGAATAACGCATGGAACCCATTTGACGGTGTTGACAGTTTCGGAACATTCTTCGAATACAAGATCGCACTATCCAACAGAAAACAATTCGGGATAATTCTCAAACATATTACGTTATTAATAAAAATTTCCGCTGGAAATCGAGTGAAAGGATATTTCGGTTTAATGGGAAGCAACGTCTCAAGAAAGCGCGATTGGCTGTCAAGGCGTGCTGGTCTCAAAGGCATGAAAGTAAGGTGACTGCTGTAGACATGAGACCTTTGCGCTATATGTGTGGTGTTTATTATTCTTAAAGACAGAATGCGAAACAGCGTAGTAAGAGAGCGTTGTGGTATGAAAAATGATATGAATGACCAGGAAATAGAGTGGGATGCCTGGATGGTTTGTTCATGTAGAAAGAAAGAATGTTGGTAGATTGACAGCACTAATTTATAGAGCGAAGGAGATGGAGGGGTAGGGAGACTTCGGCGTACATATCTCGATCAGATTGGGAATGTCCTTGAAAAAGTCCGAATAGAAAGTATCAAAAGTATGATAAGACTGATGGGAGTGAAGGAGACAAAGAAGGTTTGTCAGGAGCGTAAAAAGTGGAGGTCCATGGTCTCGGCCTACCACGGTGAGAGAAAGCGTGACGATAAGAATTTCTAATATTAGTAAATAACACTGCAGCACGTCAACAAAATGTTAAAATTGAAACGTGCTATATTCAAAATTTTTATTCAAGAAGTCATTGACGTCACAATCACAGGTCAATAACTCATCCAGGATGTGGATAATGCCTATTAAAATGTATAAAAACTTCACTCCAGTTCATCAAGTCGACGAAGTTTCCATCCTCGGGAATGTAAACTGGATGGTTTACGTTCACAAGACCACATCCTGTGAGCATTGCGGTCGTCTATCCTTTTAGACTCCTACTAAACACATTTGAATAGTTCCAACACATTGAGAGGCAATAAAAATCGTATAAGCTATAAAATTGAAAATAATAGAGCCATTTCAAGCAACATGACCATAACTGCGAAGTAATAATATAATAAAATTATATACCGTCGAGTATGTCCACTGGGCGTACACTATCACTCTTACTTTATCACGATTAGATAACGCAGAAACTTGTATTATTTCAATAAATAAATTGCTAATAAATCATTTAGGTAGGAAGTACACACCGTTCGCTCAATAAATGCTGACTGACAGCCTTTTTCGAAAAGCAGGTACGATTTGCAATTGCCCCAAAATAGGGATGTTACGGATGCAAAAATTTTGACATCCGCGGATGCAGATGCGGATGCGGATTATTAGAAGTTCACATCCGCGGATGCGGATCTGATGCGGATGCGGATTTGATGCGGATGCAGATGCGGATTGTGGGATTTTAAAAGGATAATTATATATTTATTTTTTGGCATAATTAATTGAAAATCAATTTAATTATAACTTTTAATTTATTAAATCATATTTTTAGAACAAAATAACTTGTGACAAAACAAAACTTTAGCTTGAACTTCAAGCAACAAACAACAACAACTATACAATATAATTCACCAATCTTTAACTTTAATTATTAAACAAAAAAATATGATTATGAAACTTCAAGGCTTGAAGTTTCATAATCATATTTTTTTGTTTAATAATTAAAGTTAAAGATTGGTGAATTATATTTAATAAATAGCAATATTGCAGCCTTTTCAGCTTCCAGCCTGTTTCTTAGTGGATTATATATTAATCCAGCTCCACTAAATAGTTGCTCGCTGGGAACACTGGCTGGTGGAGGTGATAAATATCTGCATGCTAATTTGGAGAGAATTTTAAATTCACAACCGTTGACTTTCCACCAATTAAGTGGATTTCCCTCTAAATCCAGTCTTTTTTTGTTACGATAAATAACTAATTCTTTGCGGAGAAGAATATCGGGGCTACTGTTGTCCGGATCTCCTTCACCTTCGTCTTCGCTCGATGAATCTAACATCATGGCAAGATCGCTTCTTAAGCAAGTCTTCTGACCCGTGCTGGACGTTCCTGGTTCAGGATCGAGAGAATCTTCCATTCTCATTCTTTTTGTTTTTTTCGCTGGCGACATAGGAGAATCAGTAACGGCAGGGTCATTAATCATCTTTATTATTTCATCTTTTATTTTTTCTTCGGTGACTGGTTTGAAAAATTTATGCTTGTAACGAGGATCTAAATATGTGGAAATGGCATAAAAGTTGTTATCTTCCAAAGAAGAAAATTTCGCTGAAAATTGTGATTTTAGGTTAGAGACTGCCAACTGAATAGCATCACTTTCTCGTGGTTTTGTTAAATAGTCGTCAAGTTTTTTCAAAAGCATTTGTATCATAGGAATCACAGATGATATGAATGCCTGAGAGCTACTCATTTCACGAGTAGCTTCCTCAAACGGTTTCAGTACTTCAATACAGCATTCTATTATTTTCCACTCTTCAGGCAAAATGGATTCAATGTTATTGTCATTGGCATAAAGACTTAATGCATCTTTTATCTTCAGAATACGCTCAAACATGTAGAACGTGCTGTTCCAGCGCGTCACACAATCCTGGAATATTTTAAGATGCGGTTGATTAAGTCTGTCCTGAATTTTTTCAAGTTGCTTTTGAGCAATGACTGAATGGTTGAAATGAGTACTAATTTTCTTACATTTTTGTTTGACGTCTTCTATGCTTTCCTGCGATCGTAAACCATGCCGAATAACAATTTGCAACTTGTGAACAGTACAATCTAAATCATTTAGCAATGCTAATCGCATTCCTCTTTTCATGTTAGAGCCTTCATCTCGTATTATGCAATGCACTTTTTCATTTGAAATATTCCATTCAGCAAGCATTGTGTTAAATTTTTCTGCAATGATATCACCAGTATGACGGTCATCAAAAGTTTCGCATTTTAACACAATTGACGATCGTTCAAAGTTTTCTGATACTCCATGACAAGTTAGGCTAAGTAAAGAAACACCTGAGCTGGGATCTGTCCAAATATCAGAAGTGAAGGACATGTAATGATATTCTTCAATTAGTTCTTTAACTTTTCCAGCGAGTTTTATATATAGCTCATGGCATATGAAATCAGTAAAAAAATTACGTCCTCTAAAATTATATTTCGGTGCTAACTCATGAATGAGACGACGAAATCCAAGTCCCTCCACAAAGTTAAATGGTAAATTTTGAAGCGCTATCATTTCGGCAATGAGTTTGTCAAGCTTTTTTGAATTAGGATTGTTAGTATCCCACTTCTTTTCTTTTTGTAGTACATCTTCTAACGAAAGCTGTTTCTTAGCTTGTTGCAACGGCAACGGAGTCACAATTGTACCTGTAAAAAATACATACAAAATTGAAACTAACTTTGGATTCTGGTTAGTGCTAAAAAAGCCTAAAAAGTGAATATTTTCACTAATACCTAGAACTATTTTTTATTTTAAATTGAATATAAAAAGTAACATAAAAATCATGTGTATAGTATAATAAATAACAACAATATATTTTAGTCACAGTATAATATAATAAAGTAAGTAATATAAAATAGCACCAAGTATAATTATCATGATTTAAATTGAAAACAGCAAATTATTAAAGAAATTAAATGAGTTTATCTAACCGTCACTAAGTTTGTAAAACATCTTATATTCCGTGATTTTCGGTACATACCTGCTTCATCATTTTTTTTCTTCAATTCCTTTTCTTTATTCGCACTTTGAAATAAACAAAACTCTTCCGGGTGTATTGATTTCAGATGATTTTTCAATGAAGTAGTAGTGCGTCCCTTCCGCGAGTAACTTTTATTACATATTTTACACTCCGACTTTTCCGGATCATTTTTGTCTATTGTGAAATAAGTCCAGATATTGCTTTTTAATGGTGGCGCCATTTTACTTTAATATTTATATCAAAATATTCTTTAAGTTCTACACAGTAAACACTCACTTTAATTTATTGACAATGAGAAAAAAATAAAGTCCGACCGAACTTTCGGACGGAAGTTTCGAACTGTCGCACGGAAGTTTCGGTCGGACTCTAGAAAAAACACAACAAACAAAACCTGTCGAATCTTGTAGCAATTTGCGCCTTCCTATTCGTCAGTTACCGAATGAAGTTAGCAATTGTCAAAACAAACGCAAGGCACGTGCCACTCTGGCTCCGCCCACTTTCTTTACATGTTATAACTTGTTCGTGTGCATTCGTAAAAACTCCGCATTGATTGATGCGGATGTAAATGCGGATGCAGATGTCTGAATTAATGCGAATAATCCGCATTTACGGATGCGGATGCGAATATTCGTAACATCCCTGCCCCAAAATCTCCTCTAACAACAAAAAACATACCTTGAAGAATTTTGTGCCGTAATCCCTGAACAATAACGATTAATATTCAATTGTATTACAAATGTTTCTATTGGAAAGGTGAAATGTTTTGTATTGGCAAAGAGTAGAGATCAATTTTGTTCAAATTAAACAAGAAATCGAATATGTCGGTGATCCACAAAGATTTTGATATAAAAAAGCATTGAGTGGCAAAATGATGGAAACGGAAAAGGTAACATTTGTCTCGAGCGAACATTATTAACGAAACAGGAAATGTTTTCCAAATGCAAAATAGTTAATTAATTATTTTGAAAAGTAATGAGAATAAAAGTTACGTACATCACGATAGCGAGTGGCTTTGCTCGGTTGGAAAACGTCGTGAAGCTTACCAAGTATTTTATAGTGTATGCCCGTACCTATTCGTGTTATCTACGTGTGAGTCATAGCATAGTTAGAATTGCAAACGAGCTGTTTAAACCGCAGCAAAGTGGTATAATAATGACACTTTGAATATAAGTTTTTAGTGAAACTAAAATCAACGTTCAAGAATAAAAACAGAAACATAAATACGGTATATTACTCTTATAGTATACTCATTTCATTATTCATTTATTCATCTTGCATGCCTGTGAAGTTTCACTAAATACTTTGAAAACAAGTAAAATTACTATAATAGTCGCCAAGGATCGTACGGACGACAGCAGCACATCAAGGTACACGTGGACGGATCAGGTGTCTACTCCAGTTTTCCGTTCGAAACATTTTTTTTTTTTAATGATATTTTGCAGTTGGCCGCTGATGGCCTTTACTGCGCCACCGGAGAAAAAGGGCGAGCTGAAGGCTCATAACCCCTAAGATAAACTTAAAGCTAAGTAGCGAGCCTGAGGGCGCCCAAGTGGGCACGGACCTCGGCTCAGGGCGCTACTGGAGACTCCCGCCAGAAGGGCGTGCTGTAGGAGAGAATCTACCACTGTACGTGCTAAAATGAGGGGCGTTCGAAACAATTAGGACGCATTTATTCGACACGAATTTTATCGCGTTCACCCCGCGCGGTCGCCGAGCGGAGTCCGCGTTGCCGACCGCGTGCGTCTAACCGTCATGGCAAAATCCGCTCTATTTATGTAGCTTTTACGTTTTGACTTAAATGAGCGTCCCGGTCACGCGGGCGAGTCTGGCTTGAATTTGGTCTACGCGGCGGTCACCCGTTTGTATTATTCAGAGGAATTTAAATGTTGTTGCTTAATAAATAGAATTCAGATTCGCCATTAACGTAATGGCGTGGTAACTGGGCGGTCGCCGCGCGGCAGTCGCTCGAAAACTTCCTCCTAGTGTAACTGGGCGCCTATTGTCAAATAAGTGACACTCAACCAAATTAAAAAGCGCATGATGCGAATGAAGCTTCATACTTGATATAGCTTTTGATTTGGTCGAGTATCACTTATTTGACAATAATTGTTATGGACGTCCGTTGTTCCGTTGCACTGGAAGCGATATTCGAACAAAAGTGTATAGCTTGATACGTAATAACGAAGTTTATAGCAATTGTTAATTTCAATTCAATAAAGTCCTTAATGCTATGGTTACCAAAATTTGCTTCCATTCCATTTTAGTAGCAGTAGAGCTAGGTAAATTGGCAAGTCCCACGTGCCTGTAATTTCACCAGCGCCCTTAACCCTTCAAAACCGAAACGCAGTAACGATTACATTATTGCTTGGCAGCAGAAAAAGGTAAGGTGGCAGTACTTCCCTGGACGAACTCTTTCACAAGGAGCTCTACTGTTACTAAATTTTCTGTTACTGTTGAAAGCCCTTATTTATAACGTATATTTGTTTAATTTTCCATTCGCCATTCCATCGGAGCGGCCGGTGCAAGAGCCTGTAATTTAGTTTTGATGAATTAGCAAAAGGGATAATAATTAGGGTCGAAAGAACATGATATTTTATATCGCTCCGATTTATAGCGGATGTTACAGTTTTTTGTGGTAAATAAAAACATGGATTTATGAAATTGAGGGTTCAGTGTACGCTTACGCGATATCGCTACAAATAAAAATACCGAGAAAGAAAAAAACGAATATGACCATAATGATATGAAGAAGTAGGCATGAAATAAATATATTACTAAGTAGAAGATGAAAACCAAATTATTGATAAGTAGGTATGGTACGGTAGGTACGTGTAAAATCTGCTAACTGATATAGAACAAAGAACTCTTTTCCATTGTTCACAAACGGATGTGCAAGTACAAGAAAAATTGTCGTACACGTAAATCGTTCGATAAAAATCGAGGTCGAGCGCAATGGAAATGAAAATAGTGGTACGGTAATAGAAAGAATATGTCTAAGTGCTCATTAGCAAGGCGACTGTAGCGTTGTAAGTACGGAGAGGGCATTTCATCGTTAAGACATTATTATAGCAGCAGCTCACACAGCTACTGCTTTTACAACCTAACGTAAAGGTATGACAAAGTAAATAGGGTTACGTCAGTAAGTACTGTTAACCATCTAAAACAAGCTAAAAAATATTGACAAACATAAAATTCTACGAAATATTTTAGAATAAAATATCTAACTTTGCACATAATTTTTATATGGAGATACTTCTCTTTAAGTACTACAGAAAACCCGCAAAATTTTGATTTTGAACAGAAATCCTGTAGTTATTAAATCACACTTGTCCTAAAATATGATTATGGGTGACTCCGAATTAGCAGAGGTGAAGCTACAGAGCCTTGAACACCGCCGTAAAGTTGTCTGCTTATCGGTATTCCGATATCACGGAGAGATGGAATTGCATAATTTGATTCCGCCTTGCCCTTTCCATCATCGTGGAACTAGACGTGGGCTGGAATTATACCCCATATGTTGTAGATATTCCCTGGATTCGCACGAAGCGTTTCGCTTCCACATTTATATGGCGAGCGGCTACAGAGTAGAATTCCCTGCAGACTTATTCTCCGAACGCTACAACTCGGGCCTTTTCAAGGCAAGAGTGAATAGCCATTATTTAGGTGTGCATGCTACATCATCGACCTCATCATCACTTTCCATCGTGAGACGAAGGTCAAATGCAGAGAAAATTTTATTAAAAAAATATTTGAAATTGCCGAGCGTTTAACGACGCGCCGCGCCGCCCGCTACTTGGTCAGTTCGTCAGTCGCCATTGGGTGCTTGTCGACGTTGGATCTGCGTCAAATTATCTCCGCCTGTTCTTATTTTATTCATATTCAATTTTCAGTACGCGGGTTGTGCGGGATGCGAGTGGCGGTCCCCTGCAACTTAATTCTAAAAATGTAGACTCGCGTTGAAATACATCGCCTTAAAAAATCGATGTGTGCATTATCTTTGTAAATGACGTTGAAAAAATCTTCCATACAGCATGCAGGTGTTGAAAGAACATAGTGCAAACAAAATATTTTTTTTTGCCAACTCATGGCAAATGAAGATAGAATTTGTTAAGAATACGTATGGTTAAGCGAAGATATAGTAAACGAGTACACTTAAGTTTCAGAGATGCTTAATATTCAACTACTGGAACGTACTCTTTCTCAGTTAAGAGAAAACAAATTAACATAAAGCCATTTCCACGAGTAGCGTACTCGGTAAGTAGTGCCTAAGTCACATAAGCAACGTGATAAGCGAAGCGAGCAACACTCTTACGCTTGGAGGCACACGCTCCTTACCACTACACTAGTGAACATGACAAACTAGTAATTTTTAGAAACAGTGCGTGCCATGAATGACTGCACAAGATCCTGTTAATTATTAAATCACTTTCGCAAATGCTGCATCATTTTGTGTTAATTATGTTAAATTCTGACAGACCGCTTTACCGACTTTTGGGTGCAGAAATCTATAATATTCATTACTTTGGACACGCAGTCTGTGCACTCAAAGGCGCTGGTTAAATATTCTTTTAATATGTATATCTTTTATCTCTTTATAAAGTACCACCGACAAGAAAGTGGCTTTCAATATAATAGTAGTAATAAAGCAATATGATGGCTCACTTTACGTATGTTGGTTACTCCGCTTCTCAAGTTGTGACAAACTTGGTTAATGTCATATCTGGCTAGGAGTAATTATTAATTACCTCAGTGAACGCTCGGCGGCCCGTTCCACTTCCCGTCAAATCAAGCCTGTAAGGCGAGGATTTGAAATTGGGACCGTTTAATTGGAATGACTGGAAACTACAAAAATATTTTGTTTATTTTGTGTGTAAAAGAGTTTTTGTGCCGTGGAAACATTCGCCTTGACATCTTGTTATGGTGCCGACTCTTTTATCGAAAATCGGGTAATGTTAGGCTTTATCTTGGTTTTAACTTGTATCGGATAACTGGATGTAAGAAAGTATGGTTTATCTGCAATAACATAACTCCACTAAAAGTATTTCTTTAGGACGTACTGTCATCAGTCAGGCTGCGTAGTTTGATTGTATATATAGATATGTATTCTGATGTGAATAAAATATCAAATTGATCAAGCATCTTACATAATCTTTCACACACCCACGATTTAATCTATTGCAAATTCATCTGAACCCAAACAAAATTTTGCATACTTGATCGGCAACGCATAGCGAGACACGCGTGCGCGAACATAGCTGAAACTGGTAGCGGCAGTGGCCACCCGGACCGCTCCGACTGGTTACGACGACGACCTTGGTGCAGCTTTCGATTCCGCACACTATCAACTAGCCACCTCTTTAATATACGTTCTGTTACTATTCCACTCTTACGAGACATGTTGTAGCTCAACACATTTGAAACTTTCGCTTTGCAGGCTTATTCCAATTATCATTGCTAATAACCAAGAACAACACATTGGGTGTTTCAAAAGGGTCACGACCAGGTCCTATTTTATATAATGTATCATTAGTCACTGTAACGCTGAAAATCATATTAAACAAAGAGCAGAATGTTACGTAACGAAAAGTTTTTTTCATGTTATATAATATAAATAGATATTGAGAGCGCCATCCTATTTCATTCAAATCTTTAAATTTACGAGCGATCGATTTGTCCGTTAGATGTGTCCAAAGGCAACCCATTGGGGTTGCCGTTAACGTTTGGCTGCGATGGTGAACTCACCACCGTTTAATTTACTAACATAACTTGCTATTGTGCACTATCAACATTCGTGATTCGACGCCATTCAATGTTGTTAATTTTATTTCCTACGGACATAGGTTACATCACAACGAGAAAAAACACGCATATTTCAAACAATTAATATTTAAAGAACATAACTGTGAATTGGTTTGAATATTCTATTTGCACAAAAACTTTTTTATTGGTGGGACGGAAATGGCGCCTGGTAGTAAGCGGCACGCCACTCCATAACAGTTACAGTGCAGTGGCTTTAATTTGATAAAGATCTGATAGGCATGCCACTGCGCCCGTCACTCTGAGACTTAAAGTTAACAAGTCCCATGTGCATGTAGTTTCACCTTACCCTTCAAAACCGGAACGCAGTTAGATCATTCGCATTCATTTGTTGCACACGGGCAATTTACTGCTTGGCGGCAGAAATCGGTAAGATGGCAGTACGGAGGCATCTATTTCTAATTATAGATATTAATATTCAAATGACACAAACGCGAACGAGGAACAGAATGAAGACATCCTCAAAATACTCAAATAAAGAAGTTTAAGTTAAATAAAAGGAATAGAACTTTTTGGTTTTAATTATTTATAACCATTGTCAATGTGGTACGTTCCGCCGTCTCATTAGTTCGCAGCGCCCTTGCTTCGAACACAATCGAATAGACTCGGAATTTCCAATCAAAATGTAAATTGGAACGCAACTATTTTACATTATTCATTTACAGAGCCACCAACTTATCTATGATACGGGAAAAAAGGAACCATTGCTACCACGTTGAAAAACATGGAATAAACTGCAAGTTACTTATGTTACTTGCTACATTACATACATACTAGCGACACCGCTCTCAGCACAGTTAAGTTGGTGTCTCTGTATTTGTCGCCTGAATCAACGCTGATGTGCAATTTATCTGCTAAAATTAAACTTTGTTTTATTTCTGAACTGAATTGAGGATGTGTTGTGAAATACGATTGTGCGGTGATTCATGGTCATAAAAGGTATTAGATAGATACAATAGCATAGGATATGTTTTGTTTCGATTGTCTCTGATCGATACGAGTATACTGCGTTACCTCGATATTATAATAATAATCGTAATTGTAGTTTCCAACATACATAACATACAGAAGACAAAAATAAAACTGTAAAATGTAGTAAAAACGCAAAAATAAAAAATGAGGTAAACAGATCCGGGCGACAAGTAAAATTATATGTTGTCTCTAGTGACCTTTCCACAACGGGCGTTATTCCAAATCATCTTCTCCGAAAACTAAAATGATTAGATCTTAAAGAATTTACTTACATTACCTTACAAAAAGCTGTAATTTTAGATACATGCGGAATTGTAGGAAAGCTCAAGGAGTTAGAAGCAGAAAATAAGCTCTCATCACAATACATACTGCGTTTATTTGATTTTAGTCTGTGAATGTAGTTATAACCTGCCAAAAGGCTGAGAAAAAAATAGCATCGTAACAATAATTGTAATAATATGCCAGACATACCAATTGTCTGACCTCTGAATAGGAATTTCCCTGTACTATGAGTCAAAACAGCCGTGGTATCCTAATAGTTTGACTTATCGCGTCGCAAGCAGAGAATAGTGGATTCGAATCCGGGTTTGCACCTCTTAGAGGTTTTTCGGAATAAATGTGCGAAATTAAAATTTGCTATGATCTTTACAGTAAGCTACGACACATATAAGGGAGTGGACCGGAGTCACGAGCGCAGAACAACTGTTTTATTTCGCCATGGATAGGGACAAATTTGTCGCATTGACTGCCAACCTCCAGTAAGAAGATGATCTTTTTGGTAAAGAGATCATCTTACATCGACACCTGCAAAGCAATTTAATATGTGTGTGAAGTTTCCAATCCGCATTGGGTGCATTGAGAGGCGGCCTGTGACCAGCAGTGAGACCTGTATATACGCTAACTATTACTGTACTATGAGTACCAGCAACAGAATTAACCCAGAACACCAAATTGGTCCGGGCCTCCTCATCCAGGACCCCGATTCAGAACTCTTCGATATTTTAACCGAATCGTTCGATTGGATATTGTTCTCGAATCGAAGGGCGCTTTCCGAGCGATTCAGAACATTCGAGTTAAACGTTCGATTCGGATTCGGGTACGATATCGTTTTCCAACAGCGTTTACGGAATTAGTTGGTGAAATAGATTATAAGAAAAATAAACATCCTTTATAAACAATAGGACGTTCGGTAACTTTCATTCGATAACTGTGATATCATTTCGGTTCGGTTTCGAATACGACAGTCTGACGTTCGATTCGGGTGATGTGATAAAAATGAAAAGAAATCAAAATCAAATTGAATCGGTCGACAACGGAGTTATCGTAAGGTTCTGAATCGACCCCCAGATCCCATAGTGCAAACCACGTTGGGTCACAAGCGCAAGGTGGTCAAGTCAAACTGAAAGTAGTATTCAATATGTTTCAAAGTATCTGCCGACAGCTACAACAATAATAGTGTTTATCGAGGTACAGTCGTCAATGTAATCCCGATTGGACGTTTCATTTCCTGAGCGTTTATGCGAATTACTGCTAAAAGGCGTGCTAAGCCTGACGACTCGACGTAAATGTCCCGTGGTGACATTTATTTACCCGTCAACAGACTATACTGCTTCCTTCATTTTCATTCTACCGGTTTTGTGCTCACATATTTGCAAATGTTTATAGATCTCCCATTGTCTTTGTATTTGAGTAACAATGCAACACAATACCTACAACCTTTTGAATCTCATTTCTTGCATTTTTAGTTTTTACAATTTCAAAGTATTAGCAAAATGTGTACCCAACTCGTATTGAGACCTAAATTCTATATATGGAGAAGTTTCGTGTGTAGTACGTACACACAGAAATTTTAAACCAAATGTGCAGATATTATGACTGAGTAATTTTCAGATTAATCTACAAATGGCATTCCATTTGAAACACAATACCAAGGTTTGAATAAATCTGATAAGCAAATACCAACAGCTCGTGCGAAATTAAGACATTACCGTCTCGCTCTTTCAGGTTGGACGAGAGAGAGTGATACGTAATACGGTGTTCTCAATTAAATGAAATTCACATCTAGATCAACAAGACGTATTTATGCCAAATCACGCATTATGTGACAAAATGTACGTCCACGATTTTATTATCTTGTGAAGGTGAATTGTTAACGGGAGCACGACCTCGGTGGCCCAACGGTTTGCACTGAGAGCGCTGCATGGGGGTCCAGATTCGATTATTGGTAGAACCAATTTTGCAAATAAATTTTTCTCAATTGGTTTTGGTCTGGGTTTTCTGGGTAGGCCCCGGAGTAATTCCCTTATTATTACACAGGGCGCACTATAAGTTTCGGGAACTGGTCACTTACATAAACAATATTTAAAAAGTAATTACAACTTTTGAAAATAGAACTCTTTGGTTGTAGAATACAGTTTGTTTCATCCGAATGTCACTTGTTTTTAATTCGTGGCGTCATTTTAGAAATTGGTCGTCTACATCACCATGGATTTAACTCGCGAAAATTTTCGTAGTATGATTTTCTACGAGTTTAAGTGTAAATTAATAGCTCAGCGGAGCTACGCTCGGCTTCCAACTGCTTTTGGCAATGAAGAACCATGCAAGACGACTATTTATAGCTGGTTTGCAAAATTCAAACGCGGTCGTGTGAATCTCAGTGACGAATTTCGTGATGGTCGCCGATCCACTGCTGTGAACAACAAAAACATCGATGCTGTGCGCCGTATGATCAAAACAGACAGGCCTGTGACGTACCATGAGATTCGGGCATCTTTAGGCGTACGCATGAGTCAAATACAATCAATACTACACGAACATTTGGGTGTGAAAAAGCTGTGCTCTTGGTATCCACCAACACCCACACAATTTGACTGAGGCTCAAAAAACGGATCGCGTCACTTGGTGCAGTGTCATGCTTACCAGATTCAACGAAGGGGCGTCAAATTTAGTGTAGGACATAGTCACAGGTGACGAAACGTGGATTTATAGTTACGAGCCCAAAACAAAGCAGCAATCGAGAGTATGGGTCTTTCGAGATGAGCCGAAATCAACCAAAGTGGTGCGCGTGAACAGTGCCTCTAAGCGGATAATTGCTTCTTTTTTTAATAAAACTGGACACGTGGCTAATGTTACTTTGGATAATCGTTGTACCGTGAATAGTTATTGGTACACGACCATTAGTTTGCCGGAAGTTACTGACAAATTCCGTAAAAATAACCGTAAACGCCATATCATCTTGCACCACTATAATGCCAGTTCTCATACGGCCAGACAGACAATTGAATTTTTGAAAGTGAACAACGTTGACCTTATGAGCCATCTCGTGTACAGTCCCGACCTCGCACCTTGACACTTATTTATTTCCAAAAATGAAGTCCCAGTACGCGGTCAACGATTTTCGTCACCTGAAGAGGCTATCGAAGAGTATGAAAAATATGTTTCAGAGATTGTCACGGAGGAGTGGCGTAAATGTTTTCGAAATTGGTTCATTCGTATGAAAAAGTGCGTTAACGCGTATTTATAGTACTTTTTTCCTATTCATTCCGGAAACTTATAGTGTACCCCACTTATTACTTAACAAAAATGACAAAGCAAAGCATTGACCAAGC